GTATACATTCTTAACATTTTCAAAATGTGTGAATCACGACATGTGGAATATGTTATTCAAGCATCTGCATTCTTCATTTCACCACTCATTTATTCTGCGGTTTCCTGTCTGTACATGTATGTGGCCTATTGTGTTGATTTTGGCATGTCTGACATTTGAGAGGTCACATCTGGAGGTTGATCAGTTGTTCAAGCAAATACTATGAAGACCTTGTTTGTCTGTTTCTAGTTTTCTTTTGCTCCCATGTAGTTCTCATAAAGACTTGCCTCATCTCTAATCTACCAATTACTTCCCTATTCGTAAAAAAACAAGACTCACACAAACCATCCACAGAGAGCTGACTGGATATCATGATGTGGATGTTCAGTTGTTGGACACAGAATGCAAATTCTGAGCAATCAATGTTCTGATGGTTTCTACGATACCTCTGAGCGTGTGACTGCGATTGATTCTGCAAATGCTCATTTAACCGTGGCACTGGGTTGAAGGTGTTTTTTGGCCGGCTCAGCATTCCTTATCTTGCCTCCCCTGTGTGCTGTATGTAGATGTGATGTTTGGAAGTGTGATGTGAAACAAAATGCCACACCAAATGTCAGTTAACTGAGTCACTTGTGTGCCATCTGGATGCTATTATGCAAACTCGCCACGGAGGTATTCTCCGGACATTGGTTATAAACGAAGGGAAATATAATGTGAGTTCCCGCGGAGGTGAGGGCCACTGTATACAGAAGAATGTGTCTAAGACCATTGTAGTTACATGGTTGATTCAGACACTAAATCTGACTGACACCATCTGACAAACACACAGCTGTGTCATCAACATACTGACAGAAAAACATCCATTTAGCAATTTAGATAGGAACCCCGTTTAACCCAACAATCTGGCGAGCATGTCAATCATGAATAATCAACCCACTGTGTGATTAGACAACAGCACTGGCTCTGCATCTATTCCAATATGCCAATTTAAGGCGATGAAAGCAATAATGAAAGTCAAAAGTGTATCTGGGGGGTCTCACCCTCACTGTAAGCTCCCTTCATCACTGACCGGCATTTTCAGGAGCTGCTTCATTGTAACATGTGTGTGGAGGCTATTTTGCGATGTCAGCTCTAAGAAGCGAGGCTGGTGGTAGTGCGGTGGGGTGGTCCGAGCCGATAAGCAGCCTCGTGGCTCTGAGAGGTTGGGGTTGCTGGTTGTACTGGGACTCTTTTCTTGAATGCGATTAATTCGTCCCCAGATTGCAGGGGGAGAACTGAGCATGGCTGTCCAGGTTCTTAATTAGCTTCAGTCTTCTGCTTCTCCTCAGTGGGCTATTCAGCTCGGCCCGTCTCTCTGGGCCCCTCAGACCGGGCTTCAAGTGGAAATCACCAGATTGAGACAAAACTCCAGATGGAGAACATTGCATAGTATCGGTCCATGTCAAGGTTAAGTGAAAGACAGGGAGCTGTGCTGATAATATCTATTAATGATCAAGTCTGGGAGATTTCACTTGCCAGTTCTCGTGACTTATTTTTTATTTTTTATTTTTGGGGGTGATTGTGGCTAAGTGGATAGCAGGGCCGTCTTTCAATCAGAGGGTCGGCGGTTCGAACTCTGGCTCCGCTAGTCACATGTCGATGTGTCCTTGAGCAAGAGACTTAACCCCACAATTGCTCCCGTAGCTGTGCCTACGGTGTAGAAATGTGATAGACTCTGAATTGTAAGTCGCTTTGGATAAAAGCGTCTGCTAAATGACTGTAATGTAATGTTTTTGTGAAGTCTGTCCTTCAGTGGTTTCAGAGAAGCTACAAGTTGCACAATAAGTACATCAACTAAATTTTTTTATGCTACCGGCACGTCACAGTTTGCGTGGGATCAGAGGATTGGCGGTTCGATCCCCGGATGTCCCCCGGCTGTCCCCCGGCTCTTTCCCGGCTCTCTCCCGCATGTCGATGTGTCCATGGGCAAGACCCTTAACCCCAAAAGTGCTCCTGTAGCTGTGCCTACGGTGTGTGACTGTGAATGTTAGATAGTCCTGTTGGGCAGGTAGATGGTTGCCCTGTTATCAGTGTATGAATGGGTGAATGATGACATGTAGTGTGAAAGCGCTTTGAGTGGTCGGAAAGACTAGAAAAGAGCTATACAAGTACAGTCTATTTACAGTTTATATATTTTCATAATGTAGGATTTGTTTTCCTTCAAATATTAGTGGCACTGAAGGTAATCATCACATATGTGTATACTTGTATGTATATACTTGTACATAACTGGTAATATATATTTATATATTACATCGCTTTTATACAAAGCGACTTACAATAAGTGTATTCAACATAGGTATTGAAGAGAACTACTATTCACCAGAAGTCATAAGTGCATCTCCATTTTAAACGGGCATCTAAGAGCATAAACCAGAGCAAAGGTACAGTGCAGAAACAAACTAATACAAACAATAAGTGCAACAAACTAGTATGAATACAATAAGTGCTAGGTGGAAGGCTCAGGGTAGTACTTCTTGAAGAGGTGAGTTTTCAGCCCGATGAAAGATGGGCAGCAACTCTGCTGTCCTGACGTCAGTGGGGAGTTCACTCCACCACTGTGGGGCCAGGACAGAAAAAAGCCGTGACCAGGTCGATCGGCCGCAGGGACCTCTCAGCGACGGGGCAACCAATTGCGGCACGAGGTGTTACACCTTGTGCAACACCTCGTGCCGCGGTGCTCAGTCGTCTGTCAGTTCTGATAATTGTGCTGCTATAATAATGAGTCGGCGGTTTGCGGGTCAGGTCGGGTTCGGTTTGTTGCTTCAGAGGCGAACACAACCTGCTCAGCCGATGGTAATTAACCAATAAATGAGTTAAGAAGAAAATATGAGGAAGGCTTTCTTGCTCTAAGGTTCACAGTGAATGCAGTGGGAGATGAGGAGAGACTAGTGTGTATTTTTCTGAAAACTCTGAGGGGATTTAGATGGATGTTTGTAGTCTGCTGCTTCTTGATGCACACAACTTGACTCCTACCCAGGAACAACGCTCGTGCAATTATTTATATTTGTGTGATGTTCCTTGAAAAATATACAATAAAATAAAATAAACTCAAATACAATCCATTACGATTACATTTCATCCAACTAATATCTAAATCTATTTTGTTGGAGATAGTAGTTGGGTTTTCAGCACTTTTAGCAAAAGTTTATTTCTGTTGGAAACCTAAAACACATGTGTTGCAGGAACAGCAACTAAAAGCTTGTACATGTCTTCTTAACAACATATATAACTAAACAGACATTTATATCACTATGCTGTTCATTTCATGTATTCAGGAGACACAGTCTCAGATCACTATGAATTCCCCCTTTGAATCATCTCTTCTGTGAGAATCACTGTTAAGCATTAATATGAGAGCAGAGAAAACCAGTGAAGAAACACACAGAAGACACATCCCATCTATCTCCATAACCCGAGCAAATATTGAAACCCGTGATTTGAGGACCTCCCTTTCCTCCTTCACTTCTGTGACAGATGTAAATGGTTGTTTCAGCAGTTGGCTCTAATGCATTTTTAAACAGGCACAGCAGCAGACAGCAAATGAACGTGTCGCGAAGGCAACACTCTACAACTGGGTCTCAATTTATTGCTGCCTCCTCCTCACATACAAACATACAAACCCACTTACACACACACATACACGGTCCTACACACTGCTGAGAATAGCTGTCATTCATCAACTTTCTCAGTACAATGGGCTCAGTAAAGGTCCCATCTTTCAACTAAATCACCGCCACACTACGGTGCCCAGCAGAGCTCTGTACCACCTCATCACATTCCCTGTCAACCGCAAACACTCGTGCACAGTAGGATGGAGAGATGATTGGGTGAAACTGTTGTTTATTCCCTGAGTTGGAAATTAAAATGTCTCTGCTCTCCCAGATGACAACACAGAAGACTGTTACTGCTGATTAGACCATCCTCATGCACACAGAGAGCCAGAGAAGAAAGGGCAATGACCAGAAAAAAATACCAGCACATGTAGAAACACGTCCACCAATCACATTCAAACAAATGCAAACATCAAATACAGATTTGTTTCGTCAAACTGCTGTTTTAAACGTTGAGTTATTTTTCACACCGAGATGTTTATCTTAGCATCTGAAATACCTATACTCCATGGTTCTGAATAAAAGTGGAAGGTGAAAGCTTGATAGAGAAGTTTACGTCTCCCAAGGTGCATCTGGATAACAACCATCCAATCAGTGACCTTCAAATTCTGTTCTGAGACTTTCGGATTCTGGATCAGCTTTTTTTGGGCTACAGCTCTGAGGTGAGGATGTGTCTGCAAAACAAATGAGCTGGCAAAATAATATGAATACTTCTATTATCCACTTTGCAACTTCATTTTCAATGCGTCTCTGTTTGCCGCCAATGTGTGGATGTCATCTTTCTTAAAATAATTTCTGTGTGTTGTCAATGTGATACATATGTGTATCATTTGCCTTTCTTTTGACGTTTGCTTGTGGTTTCGTCAGCTGAATTGTGTTGGCCACAGTAGAATTACTGTGTGTTCCAGAACAGGATGTCATAACTATTGTAAACAGACCTGTTTTTGTTTCCTGTAAGGCTTCTGCTGTAGCCTCATGACTTTATGGATTCTCTATGATATGAACAGGTGTTGCAGGGTAACACTGAGCGGACTTTCATCCATCCTAAAATGTCTCTCATCTCTTTTATGTCCATTCACTTTATTGGATCAAATATTAAATTAAAAGGATATTTTACCCACAATTAAGTTTGTCAGTAATATAAGTAATGTGGTTTTGTGACTTGTGTACAGTATAAAAGGTATTTTAAAATGGACAATATTCTTTACATGAATCTGTATTTTGTGAATTATATGAAAAGCATATCTCTAAATTGGTGAATGATCTCTTTAATTGTCACCCTCACACTGCTGACAGACTGTATTTGATCTGATACAGAGCCGTCCTCATGGACACTGATCAGATCTTTCATTGCTTTTGTCATTGCAGGTACTCATCAGCACAACTATAACCATGTGGCTCTAGGTAGCCCTACACGCACACCTAAGAATGGTAAGACAAGCTAGAATTTACAGCTGCGTTCAGTGTTGTAGATGAAGCCTGGACCGGGGCATTAACTTGAATTTAGTGTTTGATATGGATGTGTGAAAAAATGCTTGACACGGTCCACCTTTTCAATTCGCCCACCGCAAATCCATTCTGTTATTGAAAATTAAGCTCTTTGTTGAACATTAAATCGTAGAAGTATCACTTCCCATAGTCAACATTTTTCTGTGAGTGGGATCAAACCACAGTCGCTGGCCTACTCTTTTTATAAAGGGAATACAATTGGCGTACCATGTTAATGTGCTGTCGAGGTCATTCAGTCCTCTGGTTGACAAAACATGTGAAAGTTATCACCGTAACCTCGTAAGGAGAATTACCGTGAATCGGTTTTTATTACTGATGTCATGCAGCCGTTTGTTTGAACAGTTATTTTGAGCGAGCCGAGGCTCGCCCGAGGTTGCAGACTGGCAGATGTGGAGAGTCAAGGTTCTATAAGGATGCAAGGTGGAGGCTGGGGAGAGGAAAGACAGCAGAGATAAAAGGAAAGAAAGGAGGCCATACACTGAATATTCACTACCTTCTGTATTTATGAAATCACTCTGATCTTGCCGTTTGATTTATATTCTGTTTGTTTCAGCCACAAATATAAAAGGACTTGCTTGCTTTCAGGCATTCAAGGGCTAAGCTTGAATACTGCAGCAAGAATGACCCCCGTTTCTGGACAGAATTGATCATGTGATCCATTCACACACACACACAAACACACACACACACAGACACAGACTGATAAGCAAATTGCAACTATGGAGATATGCCTTGGAGATCTAAGGAAAACATAAAAAATCTATTTCAACAACACATCTAACACAAATACTTTGATCACAGGCCCCCTGAAAGGCTTCCAATTTCAGCACGCAGTGTATTTTCTAGATAACGCCCTGACTCCAGCACCCCCCCCCCCCAACATTTGTGACTTAAACAAACAGGAGATGCAGTTACAGAAAAACTGCACTATCACAGACACAACTTTACACCACATGCCTCAGGAAGTAATTTTGTTTTCGTTGTGGGGGGGGGGGGGGCAGGCATGCTGAATATGAAGAAGGTCTTTGTAGGTTCTGTTGTTCTCATCATCGTGTCTCTGAAATGTATTTTTTTTCACTTGGGTTGGTAGCTCACCGATCATTGAGACGTGGTAAGTCATACACATACAACTAGTGTAAAAACTCAATCATCACATTCCAGCACATTGTGTACTCAAGCACCACAAACCGATCCCTTTGTTTGTGGCTTCCTGTCTTCCACCTGAATTGGTGTGCTTTCAGACCTGATTTAAGTAGCATTTGCTAATAATTCTTGCTGTTTGTTTGAACAAGAAAATTAGTTTCAGTTTGTCATGTGTGGAAAAAAATTAAAGAATCCTCCTGAGCCATGAAAGTATATAAAAGTAAATTGTCGTTTTTTTTTATGTGAAAGACACGACAAAGTTTAATTATTATTATTCTATAGTTTTCTTATTTTAAACAATCCCACAAAAAAGCCAAAAAACAAGTGTCTCACCACTTTCTGACTTCCCTACCCATCCGTGGCACTCAGCCCATTGGTTCCTTATGAAGACTCAATCTTTGAACAGGGGTCACGAACATAGTTTAATTTTTTAATAAAAATGCTAAAAAATGTCCTAAACCAGCTGGGCACTGTAGTTTTTAGCCAACCTTACCTAAACAGGAGGAAATAGTGCACTTGTCGGGACTATATTTAGCCTTGGATGAATACACATTCCATGCACTAGTAAGAATTAAAGGCACCAGGACTGTATAGATTAACCTGGTACAACTTTTGAATGGTTGCCCACCTCTGCAGTTCAGAAATTTGTTGTGCTCACTGACGTCTGTTTTCCCTGAATGGAGAAACAGTCGACCAGTCAGAGCTTTGTTGTAAAGAGTCAACATTCCTGGCTTGCTAGTTACCTGGCTAAAACCATGAAAAATAGTGACAGAACGAAATGGCAACAAGCAGGGTCCGAGCCCACACAAGTCTGACATGCCTAACTCGGCAAGCACGTACTGCACACAACACTTACCAGCACTGTGGAAAATGGTGTTGATGCATCATACCGTCGCATTGTTTTACGTGGGAAGCCATCCTGGAACTGTGTTTTTAAAGTGGAAATTTTTCCGTCAAACTTCCACAGTATGTTTTTAATTGGAATACCTAGGATGAAAGCTGTGTGTGTTATCAATAAAGTTAGCTGAGTTTGAAACTAAATCACTGTTGTAGGCCTACTGTTGTTTTCTTTGACAGTTAAACTGTCCCTACTGTTGTTGTCAAACTACATTTTATAATCTTTTATTAAGATAAAGGACATAATATGTTTGCAATTACATATTAACAAGGGCATTGTCAGCAATTTCTAATAAAAACAAGAATAATTTAAACATTCAAGTGAATACCGTTAGTAACAATGCGCTACCTCTGTTCAAAGTCAAATTATACCGAAGTCATTCCACATTTGTACAAAAAAAGACGTGGTATTGATTGATCACAACAACAATTAGTTACTGTCTGCAACGTTATCTTTTAAATTGACATTTCTACAAAAAATGTTACTTATCTATAATATATATATATCGGTGCTACCCTGGATGAAATCGTAGAGCGTTCCAGCCAACATAAAGAATAGAAAACCCTCAAGTGGACTTATTTCTTCAGTTGTCATGACAAACATGAACTGGTACGAGCGACTGCTCATGCGCTTCCATGACGACTGAATCATATGTCACGTGCTGATAGGTTAGGGCCAAACAAAACAAATGAACCCCCTCTTCCCCTCTTTTCATGCAAAAAAAATATGTATTATTATACTATATTGATCCCAGAAGGGGAAATTTGTCTCTGCATTTGACCCATCCCTGTATATAGGGAGCAGTGGGCTGCCAATGACAGGCGCCTGGGGAGCCGTTAGGGGTTCAGTGTGTTGCTCAGGGACACTTTGACACATGACACGTCCCAGTCAAGGATCAAATCGTTGACCTTGCGGTTACCAGAGAACCCTCTTAACCCAGTGAGCCACGGACGCCCCAAATTATACAAATTTGGGGCGACCGTGGCAATTCAGTCTGATCATATGGTGTATGTTCATCTTAATTTAGGAACCATAGGAACATAGAGTTATGCAAAGACTTCTTGAGTCAGGTCTGTGTGGTTGTAATGTCCATCGTAATGAAGCAGTGAAATGTGTTTTCTGCTGAGATAGCTAACAGCATGCTACAGTGTGAGCCCCCTCACTGATGTGTGTGGCAGACAGTCCAGTCACAGATCTTTCACATCCTTCAAACTCCCTCCCTGCAGCTCCCAGGACCCTCAGCTGTCGCCCAGCCCTGCCACCACCCCTCCATTCTACTCGCCCAATGTTCCCTCCTCGTTTCATCTCCATATTCTTTCCTCCTTGTATTTCAGTCTCCTTTTTTCCCTTTTAGATTCTCTTATCTCCATCTCTTTTCCTCTTTCATTTCCTTCTCTCCATCCTGCAGCAGTCACTAAAGCTCTATTTTTATCGGTCCATGGGAGGCTGGTGTGGAGCCGCACCCATGCCCATTGCTTTGAACTGCGTGACAGACTCACAGCCCACTGGGAAAAGTGAGAAAGAGCAGAAGTGAGGAAAAAAATGAGAGAAGGGAATACTGAATGGACAAGAGAGAATTAAGGAGTGAAGGAAAGTGGGTGGCAGCATGGTAGGACAGATAAGATTGACGGCGCAAGGAAGACCGCAGTGAATGGGACACACTGCTGATGTTTGTGTGCATGTGTGAGAAAGGGAGATAAAGAGTAGACACAAAATAAAAGAGGGCTTTGGTCCAGTCACCCCCCTTGTGCATCTTCCTGGCATCATATCATATCAAATCAACGACAGACGATTGCCCCCCGCCCGGCTCCAGATCACACCCCAGCACTGCCACGAGCAGGGTCACTCTGCAGAACACATCTGTTGTTTAGTGTGTTGTCTTGTTTTTTTCCTTTTCTTTTTTGGACCACTGTTTCCTCCCGTCAAAACACCACGTCACCTGTCAAGTCAGTCCAACAACAAACGGTCACTGGGTGCCTGATGTGACCGCCTTTACTCCCCCATCGCTGGCAAGTTGGAGTTTTAGATATGCAACCATTTCTCAAAGGCTGACACTCTCAACTTTGAGTTGGTTGAGTTAAAGCTCAGGCAAATACTTTTTGTTTTGATTAAATTAAGTTAACATTAGAAGGCAAGAGGAAAGCGACCAAGATTACTGGTGCTTGTGACTAACTTTAGACTGTATATAAAGCCAACAACCTGAACGATGAGCCAAACTTTTAGAAATACTGAGGTCTGTAAATGCTGCCTTCCTGCATGATGTGTCTAAATGCATTTTCAAGGCCCACAATGCGAGGATATAATTCTGTTGGGGCTGTACCAAGTCCCTTTTTTAATTCATTTTTAATTCTAAAAACTGTCAAAAAACTGAATTTTGCCAGTCCCATTTTGGATACAGTTCTAGGCTAATAATAATGATCCCTGTTCTGTTTTGCAGAACAGGGATGTCTGTCAAAAAGACATGTGTTGCGGCCAGTCCGTTCTCACTCTAAACTTGTCAACACCAAACCCTAATCACGTGGTTGCCCTGTGAGACTACAGTGTATGCAATTAATGAGGTGATACTTACAAACGGGCAAAACTGACACTGGGTGTAACTAGAGCGTCATAGTCTGAAGTGCAGGGCCACAGACCAAGCTGCTGTATTTGACGAGTATGGGGGGGAGAATGTTTTGCAGTGGCAGAATATTGTTATGTCAATTAGGGCTATTAGTAGTTAAAAAAAATCGAATCCAGCCAGCCTATTCTAAAATACTCATTTCTGGTGTTCCTCTGCTGCCTCACTTGAATGACAAGCTAACGTTACTGTAAGTTGTGTTTTTAAAAAACAGCCTTACAGTATCTCGATCCATGTTTCCATGTATACTGCTGAACCCAATGCTGCATCGGTTGAACGGTTGAACGGTGATGAATATTTCATTTTTCTAATAAAACGTGACAGTGCTAAAATATGCTGAGGCTCATTAACATTAATACTGTAAGTAGCCAACTTGTAGTTACTGGGTCAGCCAAATATCCTTTTAGAAAATGAAGCACTACTCTATAACATCACAGTGTGTTTTTGTAGTTCAGACAAACGTGTTGAGTTTTCGCCAGTGAAATGATCTAACTGATCTTTCAAGTGAATTTCAGGAATCGGTATCTCCAAGTTGTATATTATATCAGTAATCATCTTAATAGTTCAAAAATAATACGTCCAGTATTTAGAGCAAATAACTCCTGGAAAATAATGTGTGCAAAAATTAAGATTAAATGCTGTTAAACCCTAACCCTGACAACACTAGAGATACTACCAAGGACATGTCCTCTGTGCCCTCAATGAGAGCTACAGCCCTGACAACAACAATGAATTATTTAACCTGACAGAGGTCTGAAGAACTTCTGGTCTCTGCATTTTAAAATAATTTTACCTGAATTTACCTGCATAACAAAAAGTATACTTCCTCAATTCCAATCACCGAGATTTCTCATTTAGACCAATTAGGCTTTTTTTCTGATATTTGTTCAGAGCACCTCTGACTGCAGGAAATATTTGTAACACTAAAGCTCCAGCTCAAATCCTTCCCTCTCTACCTCAGCAGGTGGTCTTCCATGATGACCTGATCCTGGCTAGCTTTTTGTGGGGAGGAGGGTAGGAGAAGTCAGCCTGCCTATTTTTTCTTTTACCTCTTCTGTGTCTGTATATGTATGTTTGTGTCTCCAGAAAACAATCGGATAAGCGGCATCCTGACCTCGCAGACGGAGCCCTACGACCTGTCTTTCTCACGCTCCTTCCAGAGCCTGTCACACCTGCCGCCCTCCTATGAGGCGGCCATCAAAGCCGACCTCAACCGGTTCTCATCCCTGAAGAAACTCAGTAGGTCCAAGTTCACTGCACTAATGCAAGAGTAGGCTCCCTGCCCTGATGCCCTGCATGACAAAAACACTGCATTAAGTCTGCTTTCCTTACTCCTGACTGGGACTTACTGAGTGTTTCAGCTGTGAAAAGGATTTGCTTGCTGTACAAAGGACATCAAACGTCCTCCTATACATTTTTTGGGAGATTCTGGCCGCTCCCCATTGATCGTTTCAGTGGATGGAGAGGGCCTTGAATCAGAATCAGAGAATACCAATTTCTCAACTCTGATCCTTCATGATATCAGCCTAGTCATCTCAACGAAGTATGAGACATTGATATTCCATGCTCCCCTTGTCTCCACTTAAAGGCTGCAGCCACTATTCCTCTTGGAGCATATAAGTACATTAAGCAGCTTCTTGCGCCCGGCCCGACTCCGTATTGATTTAGTGATGCTACGCTGGATTTCTGCTGCGTAATGAGGTCTCATCGCATGATATTCTCAGAGTGGAACGCAAATATTCCTTACGGCTTGTGTAATATCATCATGACTGCCCCACTTCACTGCTGGCGTGCAGTCAAAGTGAAGGATGACGATCTACAACTCATCCCGTCAGGGCTCACTCCACACTGGCTCCCACTCGTAGCTGCCAGGCACCATTTCGAACTAAATGGCAAAACATTTGTAGGATGCAGAGCTATTTACTGGTCCTCAGTTGCATTGGGGGAAAAAAGCATAAAAACATTACCGTGTTTTTGCGGGAAGAATTAACGTAATAGTTTCGGCTGTAAAACAAACCAAATGAATTAAATTGTCAGAGATAGAAGCCCACAGGAAAAATATCCTTAAGCAGTGTCCTTCAGTCTTCCCAACTTTCTTTCTGCTTCCAGAGCAAATTATTTGTTGCAGCAAATAGCCAAAAGGCTCTGCAGTTTCTTTTTGTTGCTCAACTAGAGTCTGTACACTGATAGATCATGTTGGATTGTGCTGGAGGGAAGATAGAGCAGCGTTTCCATTGTCGGGATAATAAAAGAGAAGAATGCTCCTGCTTATTAATGCAAATTGGTATCAAACTAAAGAAAAGCGTTTAGCTCATTGCAGCACAGGACAGTATACATCACAAGATATTCCTTCACTTCATGGTAATATAGCTGATGAGCTTGCAATGTCCTGCCCAAATCCTGAAGACTGTTATGCTTGAGAAATGAACATCTTGTTTGTATTATCTCTCATAATGAATTGATTTGCAGCAAGCACCTATGACTCGCTGCTGAAGGGGATTTTGGCTGAGTGTAATCTTGACAGGTGGTGTGAACGCTGTGGCACCCATTATTGACAAAGACAGGCTCAGAGTCATCTACAAATTGTGAACGAGGTGGAGAGGTCTGCTCGCCATTGATTTATTACCACCATATAAATGACACCTTGACTTAGTATGATGGTAAAACATTGATGCTGGTGTTCAGAAAAGAAAAAGATTTCGTGTATTCATCACAATGGACTTGTAAAATGTGAGTTTTTGTGAATTTACGTCACTGTGTGTGTGGTTTTGTACTCAAAGACAAGTCTTTCTGCATGTGTTTGTGTTGTGGCATGCAGTTGATGCTACATTCACTCCTACACACTCTCTGGAAATGTACTGTTGTCTTTGGGATCTGCTTCTAAATGCATGTTGAAGTTGTTTGTACACATGAATGTAATAACGATAAAACATCCTCTCAAGAACATTAAGACACAGTTTTTGGTGTGCTCACTAATAGAATTAGCTTTCCAGCATGTACATACGAAGTGTCTGCGGGCTTCCCTCCATATCTGTATTATGTGATGTTTATAGACTTTCACATGACCTTTGAAAAGTTTGCCTCCACAGCCAGAGCTGCCTGTAGAATCCCTGATGAAGCCTGGATGTGTGGATGTTATGTGCCTAGCATGTAATACAGTCTGATTGTTCCTCTGTCGCTCTCTATTTTCTATTCCCCTCTGTGAGCATGGAAAGGTGAAACACAGATGGGTCTGCCAACACTATTCTCTGCATTGTGTGCAATGTTTTTAAATCCCGCTTTATCCGATTTCTTCCCTTGCATTCTAACACCTACCCATGTTTTCTCTTGCATTCACTCCCTGAATCTCTTCTTCACCTCTTGCTTCTGTTTTTTATTCCCGTCCTCTCTGCAGCAGATAAAGACGTCGACGACTACTACACTCGTAAGCGCCACCTGCCCGACCTGGCAGCAAGAGGCACTCTTCCGTTGCATGTTCTCAAAGTTGGTCAAGACCAGGTGGGTACATAAGTGCTTGATTTAAGTGTGCTGTGTCTAAACAAGTTCATGTTCTTTGCTTTTCATGCATATAAGAGGCAAAGCAAGTGTGCTATCTCTGACTCTCCAGATTTGAATTTGTTAGAAGCTATAGCTGGTCTTTCTTTTCTTCCGGCAGTGGTGGGTGGCAGAGCCGTTTACCCCTCAGCTTGTGAATAACTCACCTCATTCATCTTTTGCTCAACAGCACCGGGAACAGCAGCAGCTCCAGAGTCAGCCCCCACAGTCCTCCATCTCCCAAGTCGCTCCCCAGTCACAATCCTCACAGCAACAGTCTCAGCAAAGGCAGAGGCCCCGTCGCGTCCAGAGGGCCATGTCCCAGGACCGCGTCCTGTCCCCAGAGAGAGCCCCACAGCAGGATTACAGCATGTCTTCTAATGGTATGTCCCCCTACGGAGGCAGGATCCTCTCAGATGAGCAGCTCCTGTCTGCTGAACGTCTTCGATCCCAGGAGCGTCTTCTTCCACAGGACCGCCACACCTCCCAAGATCGCCTTTACTCCAAGGACCGCATATACTCTAAGGATCGACTCATGTCGCAGGATCACCTGTACTCAAAAGACCGCCACTACTCTCAAGACCGCCTCTATTCACAAGATCGCCTGTACTCACAAGACCACCTCCTATCCCACGATCCTCTGCTCTCGCCGGACAAGCTGATGATGTCGCTGAAGCGCGGCATGGTGAGCAGCATCTCTGGCGGGTTTCGTGGCAGCGACAAGTCAATGTCACGCGCCATCTCGCACACAGATGTGTTCGTACCCACCACACCTCTTATGGATCGCTACAAGATGACCAAAATGCATTCCCATCCCAGTGCCTCAAACAATGGTGGTGGCAATGGAGCGCCGGGAGCGGGAACCACCGGGCACTCCAACACTTTAGCCATGAACCAGACAACAACAAAGAGGCAGGCGTTTGCCTCCAGACGGACTCACACAATGGAACAGCTCCACTACATCCCACCACACCACCAGCAACAACAACACCCACAGCACTACCGCACGGGTAGCAAGACTGAGGTGACTGTGTAGGGGCAGCAAAGGACTTCCTGAACTGCACTAGAAGCAGCACAGTTGTGTGCAAGGGGGTGTGGTTAATAGAGGTACGAGGGTACACTGGCTTTCTTTTAGAGTAGGATGGTGGTGATATCACTGTCTTTGACTGCTCTGGTAAAGTCAGAGATTCCAGGACCAAGAACATCCACTAGCTTACAGTGAGAGACTGGGAAAACGCGCTACACTGTACACTGCAGACACTGGCCCAGTTAGATCTGAAGCCAGAGAGGGTCGTGGATAAATTACCCTATTCATCCACAGGCTACGGCCTCATTCTGTGTATTTTTTAGTGAGAAAACACTGACTGTCTGTTAAAGCCTTTATCGCCACCCTTTGTCCAACAAATCTATCCTGTGACCTATTCTGGCAAATCTTAAAGGGCTTTTGCATGGTTAAACAAACACGACTCTTCCGTGACTTCTGTTGTGCAACACAACGCCACCACAGGAGATGAACTAGGTTGAGCCTGTAATAACTTTATAAATATATAAATAAATGAATAAAAAGCTACCATTTGTACTCCCTGTCCTACTCATAGCTGTTGTGAATCTCAATGAGAGAAATTGAAATGGATGTTGTTAGCACTTCTATTTGGTGCCACTGACAGATGTTCCATTTCTAAAAATGAACTGGTTTTGTGGGTTACAAAGCACAATCAATAAAAAATATTCTGTTCCGTTTATGATTCCTTTTGAGTTTGAATCGTCACGGCTAGCTTGTTTTGTCCTTAAAGCAATGGCAGTTTTTTTTTTTTGCTTCCAGTAGATTAGTAGATTGTAAATAAGCTATTCTAGAAGCAGTATTATGGACAAGACTGTGCTGGATGGACTTTGTATTAGATTTGTTTTCAATAGATTCTTAAAAACAACTATAAATCATCACCATTTCATGAGTTCAGAATAGAAACCCACTTAACCAAGTATTTGACAGGATAAATGAATACTATACTGTGTGTGTCTTTGTAGGAAGAGAAGTGAATGAATGTGTTGTTGATAACAGATCTACCACTGTTCTACCACTGTTCATATTTGGATGTAGACTGTGTTCCATTGACATCAGAGAAGTTGAACAACAAATTATTCATGGGAATTGATTATAATGCTTGTTATAGTAGGGTCAAATAAACCATCCATATTTTTCTAAACATTCAACATGGTTCCTTGAGAGATTTCTGTGTCTGTTTTTACTTCAAAAGACTGATACACTTCATTTCCAATTTAGGTTTTACGTAGACAATCACAGTTAGATGTTTTGAAGTGGCGGGTCAAAGAACTTCATTGGTTGAGTCAATTTGTGCATGTGGAGTAAGAACCAGTTTTCCTGCAGAAAGTGAAATCAGTCTGAGTCACTGTAAATAAGGCTGGATGTAATGAAGGAGGTACATTACACAACCTAATGGTGTTGGGGTCTAGGTAAGCAACCAACTTACCAGTGTTTCACTGACCTGTTGTCCCATTAGTAAGATAAAGACACACCAGCAACCTTGGCCAACAAAAACTGCTTTGTTAAGATAAGGGAAACATTGTCATCATGGCTATAAGTAATCAAAGTTAACTGTTGGTTGGACACAAGTTAGCGTGTTTTTTTTAACCACTGATTTGGTCCTTTACAGGCCAAAAGGTTTACAGGCTGAACTTAAGGTTAAAGCTAGGGTTTTTAGAGGTCTGTGACACATTGTAGAGGGTGTTGAGCAAGAACTTGAAATCAGAGAGCTAGACTCTACAGCTCCAGAAGTAGAAATACCTGCACAGAGAGAGCCACAGCAGGTAGAGGAGAGAGATGAGAAAGCACAAAACTATGGGAGACAAGTTTCTAACATGCATTAATGGGATGAGAATGCGTATAGAGAGGGAGAGGAGGAGAGAGGAGATCAGTGCATCAAGTCTTAGCAACATAACTAAGGGATGGTTCAGGGCTCACCTGAGCCAGCCCTAGCTATAAAAGAGGAAAGTCTTAAGCCTACTCTTAAATGTGGTGAGTGTGTCTGCCCTCTGGACTGAAATGGGAAGCTGGTTCCACAGAAGAGGAGCTTGATAACTGATGGCTCTGGTTCCCTTTCTACTTTTTAAGATTCTAGGAACCACAAGTAACCCTGCATTCTAGGAGAGCAGCTCTCTAGTGGGGTAATGTGGAGTTCTAAGATATGATGGTGCAGGACCTTTAAGGGCTTTGTAGGTGATCCTAATTTTACAGGGAGCCAGTGCAGAGAAGCTAATACATGAGTAATATGATCTATTTTCTTAGTTTTTGTTAGTACACATGCTGCAGCATTTTGGATCAACTGGAGAGATGTAAGAGACTTATTAGAGCAGCCTGATAAGGAATCGCAATAATTTGGTCTGGAAGTAACAAATAGATGGACTAGTCTTTCTCAATCTTTTTGAGACAGGATGCACCATATTTTTGCAATGCTACGTAAGTGAAAGAAGGCAGTTGTTGCAATCTATTTTATGTTGGAGTTGAAGGACATATCCTGATCAAAGATAACTCAGGGATCCCTTCCTGTGGTGCTGCAGGCCAGGGCAATGCCATCCCAGAGTAACAATGTCTTCAGATAATGTGTTTCAAAGCTGTTTGGGGCCTAGTACAATAACTTAAAAAATATATTTTTTCTGTGTTTAACATTCAGAAGTTGCAGGTCGTCAGTATGTATGTAATGTAGGTTTTGTTTGACATAGAAGTAAAGTTATCTCACAACTGCTGCTCTGCACTGCTCTCATTAGGCGATTACAGCTGATAACACTGTCCTGACTGACAGACCTGTCTGCCTTAGGTAAACACTTTTGCTCTGTCAGCACTTTAGCTGTAGATTGCACTGTTAGCACTATTAGCACCATTAGCTATGAGCCACTGGCTTGACTTATAATAATAACTTTATTTATATAGCACCTTTAGAAACAGTTCACAAAGTGCTTTGACAGTCAAATATAATGGTTCTGGAACAGAGCAGAGATTCAAGCGCAGAGATAGACACTGGTGGGGTATCCACAAGGCTCTTCCGTCCAGACATGCTGATGTGAGGAGGTCCACAAGGCCTCTTTCCTCCGGACCTCGTCCTGGCAACAAGAAGATTCACGAGGAGCCGCCTCGTCAAATCCTATCAGGTCACATGCAACATTCGCTGGTCAAACAGACCTCAAAACAGACTATTTTGAGTTTTGGATCCTGTAGTGCGAGAACGGATAACTTCTATGCCCCGTTCCCCCCTTTTTGTGTACACACCGCCGGCAGAAGGACGATTAACAATCTTTCCTCGCCGAAGATTTCCGGGAAGGACGACCCAAACCTCGTCCCTCAGCCGAAGTTAAAAAGCCCCTCTCTGCAGCGAGGAGGCCGAGTCTGCGCCAGCCAGCCCCAAGCCTCAAAGACCAAAACCACGGTGGTGGAGCCTCGTCTCGCCGACCGAGTTTCGGGGTGATACGAGAGCAATACTCGCATCTCACCGCAGTGATAAAGATCTGTTTTTTTTTGGGGATTATTTTATTTTGTTTGGTTTTATTCTCTGTGAGTGAGATTGAGAACCGCAACTATCACTGTACAAGCGTGACCGGTCGGTTCAGAATCCGACTGCAGAGTTTACGAGTGATCAGCTGTTCCTCACATTCTCACTGCAGCGCCAAGCACCGCGCTCAGAGCTCTCGCTCTCGCTCTCTCTCTCTTCCTCTCTTCCTACTAACCCGCACACACATAGTTAGATTCACTGATTTTGGGTGAACCTCTCAGACACGTGGTTGCGTAATCTATTGTCCCAACCCACATTGTGCGCCGTCCCACGTGGTTACACTTAGCCACCTCTCAGCTATCTTGTCGCGGGTCCCTAGACTCCGCCATCTTTGCTTGTAGGCTCACACACCCCTTTTTAGGTTACGTACCATCACTGTTTGAGTAGCCCCCCCCCCCCCCTTCGTTTCCACACACACACACACACACACACACACACGTGTATATATGTCTATATACATATCCTTACCCCACTTTATTCATTTGACTTTAGGTATTAGACATATAATTGTATGATAGTGTTTGTTGATTTTGATATTACTTGATTTGATCATTTATTATTTTATTTAATAAACTGTTATATTTTAAAGAGCAGTTGTCTGTGATTACTCGTGCATATGTGTGTAATAATAACTGGATGTAGTGGCCTGTGCTCGAACTTAAACCTTCACTCTCACTCTGAATGTGTAATAGTACTCAGACTATTGACATTATGAGTGAACACTAATTATGAGACTTAGTTTTATTGTTTGGTTATTGGTCCCTGTTCGCAGGGTGGTGCCCCGTTATTATTAATAATCATTAATAATTGTTACTGACATCAATAATTCTATTGATGTCAAGAATTTAGTTTCTTAGATGCTGATAACCCAAACAGGCTCCTCTACGTTCCCAACACTTTTATCCAAAGCGACTTACAATATGTGTATTCAACAGCGGTTTTCGAGAGAACTACTAGTCACCAGAAGTAATAAGTGCATCTCCCTTCTTCAAACAAGCATCCAAGAGCATAAACCAGAGTCAACGTAGAGTGCAGAAACAAACAAATGCAATAAGTGCCACAAACTAATAAGAAAACAATAAGTGCAATAAGCTAGTATGAATACAATAGATGCTAAGTAAATGCTAAGTGCAAGGCTCAGGGTAGGCCTTTTTGAAGAGGTGAGTTTTCAGCCTGCGCCGAAAGATGGGCAGTGACTCCGCTGTCCTGACGTCAGTAGGGAGTTCATTCCACCACTGTGGGGCCAGGACAGAAAACAGCCATGACCGGGTCGATCGGCCGCAGGGACCTCTGAGCGACGGGGCAACCAATCGCCCCAAGGCAGCAGAGCGAAGTGGTCGGGCGGGAGTGTAGGGCTCGACCATGGCCTGGAGATAGGAAGGAGCTGTTCCTTTCACTGCCCTGTAGGCTAGCACCAGAGTCTTAAACTGGATGCGAGCTCTTACAGGTAGCCAGTGTAGAGAACGGAGAAGGCAAGTTGTGTGGGAGAACTTGGGGCAATTGAACACCAGGCGAGCTGCAGCTTTCTGGACAAGCTCCAGAGGTCTGATGGCTGACGCCGGGGCTCCGGCAAGTAGTGAGTTGCAGTAGTCCAGGCAGGAGATGACAAGAGCTTGGATGAGCACCTGCGCCGTCTCATCAGTGAGGAAGGGGCGAATCCTCCTGATGTTGTAGAGCATGAATCTGCAGGAGCGTGTAACCGATGCAATGTTTGCTGAGAAGGACGATTGGCCGTCCAGGGTCACACCCAGGTTCCTCGCAGTCCGAGTTGGGGTCACCACGGTATCGTCAATGGTGATGGACAGGTCTCTGTGCGGGCAACCCTTCCCCGGGAGGAACAGTAGCTCGGTTTTCTCCAGGTTGAGCTTGAGGTGGTGTGTCGTCATCCACTTATAGATGTCAGCCAAGCACGCAGCGATGCGTGCCTCCACTTGAGTGTCCCCGGGGGGAAATGACAAGACCAGCTGGGTGTCATCGTCATAACAATGGTAAGAGAAGTCATGCGAGCGAATAACACAACCCAGAGATGTTGTGTAGAGCAAGAAGAGAAGGGGGCCCAGGACTGAGCCTTGTGGAACCCCCGTAGTTAGCATGCGTGGTTCCAGCATGGCCCCCCTCCACGTCACCTGGTAGGATCGACCTGACAGGTAGGATGCAAACAGGGAGAGTGCAGAGCCTGAGACGCCCATCCCCTCTAGGTTGGAGAGGAGGATCTGGTGGTTCACCATGTCAAACGCTGCAGACAGGTCCAGGAGAATCAGGACAGAGGAGAGAGAGTTAGCTCTCGCTGCGTGAAGCGACTCCGTCACCGCAAGGAAGGCTGTCTCAGTCGAGTGACCGACTTTGAACCCAGACTGGTGGGGGTCCAAGAGGTTGTTTTGGTGGAGATAGGAAGACAGTTGAGTAAAGACAGCGCGTTCAAGTGTTTTGGATAGAAAGGGTAGAAGAGAAACCGGTCTGAAGTTCTTGACATCAGAGGGGTCAAGTGATGGTTTTTTCAGAAGGGGGGTGACTCTGACAGTCTTGAAAGCTGTGGGAAAGCATCCTGAAATGAGGGATTTGTTGATTAGGTGGGTGAGGAAAGGAAGGAGTTCAATCGCAATAGACTGAAGAAGAGGGGAGGGGATCGGGTCAAGGGAGCACGTGGAGGGGCGGTTAGATGTAACAAGGTTGAGGACCTCATTAGGGGAGAGGGGAGCAAGATACGGTAAGATGGGGCATGGAGAGGGGACGGAGAGCTGTTGGGGAAGTGCTGGAGATGGTGGATAGGGACACGGAGAGAGTGGGGGAGAGGATGGAAAGGGACCAGGGGGCTGAGAGAAGGAGGACCTGATATCGTTTACCTTCTTGTCAAAGAAGTTGGCAATATCGTCAGGGAGAAGGGAGGAAGTAGGAGGAGGGGGTGGGGGTTGGAGTAGTGAAGAGAAAGTTTCGAAGAGTTTTTTAGAATTGGAAGCAGAGGTTAGGATTTTGGAGCGGAAGAACTCAGCTTTAGCAGTAGAAAGAGTGGTGGAAAAGTGGAAAGAAGAGCTTGGAAGTTAAGAAGGTCCCCAGGGAGTTTGCCTTTTCTCCATTTTCGCTCAGCCTCTCTTAGGCTCCGTCTGTCAGTACC